CACTCACTCACTCACTTACTCACTCACTCACTCGCTCACTCACTCACTCACTCAATCACTTACTCACTCATTCACTCACTCACTCACTCACTCACTCACCCAAATCAATTCTCGTTTTGATGTCACCAAAGATTTGAATGAAAAACTTACTGGGTTTGACCACATCTTTAATCATATGGTGGGTATTTGCCTCAATGAAATCGTTAATCGGCTTCTCAGGACCACCGGCAGCATTCATGTCAAAAGCTTCGGCCTTGGCGAAATATTTCTTCTGGACGTCATTGACGAAACTAGGGACAATGTTGAAGCTTGGGTTGGCGAAGACGCCGTTGCCTGTGTACAGCTGAACGTCCTTGGCTGAGTTGAGCTGTGGAGGTTTATCCTTCTTTAGTTTGGGTAAATGTTTTACGCCCTACTACGCCCATAGTGGGTGCTGTTTGCTTCTTTCTTTCCAGAAAGAAAGAACACCCAGCAAAGAGGATAGCAGAACGTGTTTGAGAGAGTGGACAATGTAAAAACAGTCGACTGCGGATGAGTTGATGTTGTCGGGGGAGGGAAAAAAAAAGATCAACTGATCCGAAGTTCAACTCAATTGTTGGGATCTGTAAAGATGAAGAGGTGCTGGGATCAGAAAAAAATATCACCTTTTCAGAAAATTAACTCAAACAGTAGTAGTAGTAGTAGTAGTAGTAGTAGTAGTAGTAGTAGTAGTAGTAGTAGTAGTAGTAGTAGAGGTTTTACGGCGCTCGCAACTGCATAAGGTCATATGATAACTCAAGTGAGTTCAACACAAGTGAAGTCGACAATAGTGAAACATCAAATTATGTGTGAATATGTAATTACCTGCAGTTGAAATGATTATGTTGTAAATAATACGAGTTATTTGTTGTCTCTGGTCTGATTGTTGCTTTTTAATCAGTTTTGTAATTGGAAGGAATATTTTTGTTACTGTTATTTAAGTTTGGAAGTGGACATTTTTGTGCCATGAAGGAAGGGTCAGTGTGGGCTGAACTAACATTAATGAGAATACAACAAGATCCGTGAATGTACGTTTTTGGGCTGTTGTTTCTGTCAATGTTAATTTCGTCGTAGTTGTTGTGGTTTTTCTCCCACACCCCTTTTTCCTCCTCTTTCTCCTCCTCCTCCTCCTCCTCCTCCTCCTCCTC